GCCTCGGGCCTTCCGCCACGCCCGCGCATGCGCGCTGAGACCACGGCCGATGCCCGCCTGCTTCACACACCCCCCCGCCCTCCGTCCACACCGCCATCCCAACCCGCCGCGGCCCTGCGCGCGCACCTTTTGGGCCCTCCGTCGGCGAGGCCGTTGCCCGCCGCGTTCGCCGCCCCTCCTGAGCCCAGGCCGCCTCCGGGAACGACTCCGGTCTCCGCCATTTTGGGGACGCCCTCCAAACCCGCCGCGGAGACGGAGCCCGAGACGACCGCCGCCATTTCCTTCTTCTTCTTCTCCTCCTCCTCAAACGAGCTCCCGCGGCAGCTGCTACTGCGCCTGCGTCGGCGACGCCCAGCCCACCCGTTTTTTTTTTTTATAAGCCTCATAGGCGACCAATGAGAGGGAAGCGAGGGGGTGGGGCGGAAAACGACGGCAAGGAGCCACCCGCCCTTTCTCCACCCCCTCCTGCGTGACGTCAGCGTTGCCCTGGTTGCCGAATAAGTAGGAACGACGGGGCGGGGCTGGGGAAGGCTCCACCCTTGGCCGCTTTTACGGCACGTGGACTTCAACTCCCAGAATTCCCCAGCCGGCATGGTGGCCGCAGTAGAAAAAAAAAGATCCCTGGGAGGTTTTTAAGAGGCTAGACCAGAAGTCTTCAACCTTGGCCCTTTGATGACTTGTGGACTTCAACTCCCAGAATCCCTCAACCAGGCATGCTGGCTAAGGAATTCTGGGAGTTGAAGTCCACAAGCCATAAAAGAGCCCAGTTTGAAGAGCCTGGGCTAGACAGTCACTTGTCTGAGATGGTAGAGGTTCTCCTGCTTGAGCAGGGGGCTGGACTAAAAGACCTCCAAGGTCCCTTCCAGCTTCTATTCCAGTGTTTCTCAACCTTGACCATTTTAAGGCATGTGGACTTCAACTCCCAGAATTCCACAGCCAGCAATGCTGGCTGTGGAATTCTGGGAGTTGAAGTCCACATGCCTTAAAATGGTCAAGGTTGAGAAACACTGTTCTATTCCATTCCATTCCATATTCTATCTATTCCATTCTACTCCATTCCATTCCATATTCTATCTATCCCATATTCCATCCCATTCTATTCTATTCAAATCTGCAGATGACACCGAACTGGCAGGAGTAGCCAACACCCCAGAAGACAAGCTCAGGATCCAAAAAGATCTTGACAAACTTGAACAAGGGGCCCTATCCGACAAAATGAGTTTCAATGGGGAGAAAAGCAAAGTTTTACATTTAGGCAGGAAAAAATCAAGGGGACAAGTACAGATTGGGCGAGACCTGGCTTAAAAACAGCAACTGTGAGAGCAGCAGCTTTAGTGGCGTTAAACCAGTAATTCTAAACCTTGGCCGTTTTAACGTGGCTGGACTTCAACTCCCAGGATTCCCCAGCCAGCATTTTAAAAAAAAAGCAAGGTTTTACATTTAGGCAGGAAAAACCAAAGGTAAAAGTACAGATTGGGCGAGACCTAGCTTAAAAACAGTAACTGTGAGAGGGACCTTGGAGTCCTGGTGGATGATCACTTGACCATGAGCCAGCAGTGTGTAGCAGCAGCCAAAAAAGCCAATACCATCCTGGCTTGTATAAATAGAGGCATAGAATCTAGATCACGTGAAGTATTAGTATATTATATTATAAAACCCTAGTAAGACCACATCTGGAATACTGCAGCCAATTTTGGTCACCATATCACAAAAAAGATGTTGAGAGTCTGGAAAAAAATTCAGAGAAGAGCAACTGAGAGGATCCAAGGCCTGGAGACCAAAACATATGAAGAACGGCTGCGGGACTTGGGTTTGCCTACTCTAAAGAAAAGAAGAAATAGGGGAGACATGATAGCAGTATTCCAGTATTTGAGGGACTGCAACAACGAAGAGGGGGTCACGTTATTCTCCAAAGCACCCGAGGGCAGGATGAGAAACAATGGTTGGAAAATGACCAAAGAGAGAAGCAACCTGGAATTAAGGAGAAACTTCCTGAAAGTGAAGACAATCAACCAGTGGAACAGCTGGCCACCAGAAACGTGAACGCTCCATCACTGGAGATTTTTAAGAAGAGATTGGACAACCATTTGTCTGAGATGGCATAGGTTCTCCTGCTTGAGCAGGGAGCTGGACTAGAAGACCTCCAAGATCCCTTCCAGCTCTATTCTATTCTATTCTATTCTGTTCTATTCTATTTCTATTCCATTCTCTATTCTATTCCATTCCATTCTCTATTCTATTCTATTCCATTCTCTATTCTATTCTAAATTTTGCTCTATTCTATTCTATGGTGGCGCAGTGATTAAAATGCGGCATTGCAGGCAAATTTTGCCCACTGCCAGCAGTTCGATCCTCACCAGCTCAAGGCTGACTCAGCCTTCCATCCTTCCGAGGTCTTTAAAAGGAGGACCCAGATGGTTGGAGGAAAATAGGCTTGACAGTGTAAACCGCTTAGAGAGAGCTGTGAAAGCACTGTGAAGCGGTATATAAGTCTAGGTGCTGTTGCTATTCTCTCCCTCCGCCTCCTTCCCTCCCTCTTTTCTTTCTACCTTTCTTTTCTTCCCTTCCCTTCTTTTTCTCCATTTTTTTCTTTCTCTCCTGCCCCCTCCGTCTCTTCTTTCCCTTCTCTTTTTCTCTCTCTCTTCTTTCCCCTCCTTGCTTCCTCCCTCCTTTTTCTTTCTCCTTTTCTTTCTTTCTTTCTCTTCCTTCCTTCATTTCTCTGCTAAGAATTGCAAGCTAATTCTGCCCACAGCCAGCAGTTCGATCCTGACCGGCTTGGAAGTTGACTCAGCCTTCCAACCCTTCTGAGGTCGGTAAAATGAGGACCCAGGCTGTAAACCAGTGTAAACCATTTAGAGCAGGCTGAAAACCACTATGGAGCAGTCTAGCAGTCTAACTGCTAAAGGGAGAACCAACACTGGAGGTTTTCAAACATAAGACTGGGATGGTACAAGGTCTCCTGGCTTGAGCAGGGGGTTGGACTAGAAGACCTCCAAGGCCCCTTCCAGCCCTCGGATTCTATGTTCTGGGTTGTGAGGCCCAGTCTTCTGCACTCTGCCCGGAACTGCCTCTTTTTGTGAAGGTCAACAAGGCTGGATCCAGTCCAAAGTCAGAGGGGAATTCTGATCAACAACATGCCGGCAGAAATGAGATGGGTCCATGAGCCCAGCCGAGGCGGTTCAGCTCAGGCCGGCCCGAACAAGCGAGAGAGACCAACCACTCTGGCTGACCAGTCAGCCCGTCGTACGTCCACACACACCATTAAGGCTACGGAGACCCCCGTGGCTGTTATTTCTGTAAGCCGGGTGGCTACAGCGTTTATTTTTTTTTAAAAAAGGACACCCTCCGGTTCAACATCAGTTCGTTTTCTGTTGGTGTAGTTTTTGTTTTACTCCTTCTGGGATATTTAGACTGGGATCCATTCCCAAAAGGACAGGGTCCTCTAAGGCAGGGCTTTTCAACCTTTTCACCCATTGTGCCACTTTTAGGATATGGCAACATCCGAGCACCACCAGTCGCCTAGCAAGATGTCAAAAACTTGATGACCCCCCGCAAAAAGGAAAAAAGTGATGAAGTACAGGTAGTCTTCGACTTACAACAGTTCGCTTAGTGACTGTTCGAAGTTACAATGGCCCTGAAAAAAGTGCCCCCCAAGCCACAGCCGAGCAAGACACCTGCCTGCCCGCCCGGCAGCGCTCTTCCTCCTGTCCGAGGTTTTCATTGTTGTGAGCATTTCTGTTGAGGATTGGCAGTGGGGGTGGGGTGGGGGGGTGTTTGGTTTTTATCCCCCCCCCCCCGTCTGCTGGGTGGTTGCAGCAGGTTTTGGTCACTTCACACGACCCTGGGACACTGTGGCCGTCCTAAATATGAATCCGTTGCCAAGCATCGGAATGTAAATCACAAGACCCTGGAGAGGCTGCAACATTCCAACTGATCGGCGTTTCTCCTGGGCTCAGCAGAAGCACCAGGATCAGTGCTGCTTTCCAGCTGGAGCCTGGCACTGATCCTGGCGCTTCCGCTGAGCCCTGACAGTCCTGAAGAAGCGCCGATCAGCTGGTAAGCGGCACTGATCCTGGGGCTTCCGCTGAGCCCTGACAGCCCTGCAGCTCCAGCCGTCTCTCGCTCAGGCTTGTGCGGTGCTGCCACCGGTTCAGCTCATTCCCCACTAGCACTTTTCTAGGATGGTCGCGTACCACCTGCCAGGTGCCAATGTACCACAGGTGGTACCCGTACCCCTGGTTGAAAAGCCCTGCTCTAAGAGAGAGCAACATCACTGGGAAAGAAGGAGGGGAAAAGACAACAGCACCCCACCCCCATCTACATAGTGCAAAAAATATAAAAGGGGCCGAGAGAGTCAGTGGCGGTGGGAGCAGTGACAGGGGAACCGACCTCTGGGTTTTTGCACGTGGCCCATCCGTGTCTCTGAACAAGGCCTGCTGCCCAGGCTGGACCCCCGGGCCGGAGAAGGAGGGACGGGAGCCCTGCCTGCCCCCTCCGGCAGCCTGTTTGCAGCCAGGGTCCTGGGAAGCAAAGCTGCCACTGACACACACACACACACACACACAAACACAGCCCCACCGACAAGCACCTTCCACAGTGATGTCCAGGAAGGGAGAAGGGCCCTGAACATAGTTGCTGAAAACTGAGAACAGTCATAAAATTATAATTACAACAATAATTAGGGTGCTATAATATAAGATAGTTACACGGGTGGAGGGAGAGGGGTGTCCTTCTCCCCACTGGGCCTCTGAGGACGGAGCGGGGCCGAAGGGCGCCCCTCGGCGGGCCACGTCCCCAGGCCATTGCACACACGCCCCGGGGAATCGGCTGTCTCTCGGCGGCGGGAGGGGGAGGGGGGGCTTGACCGATGAACGGGACGGCCAGCTCCCTTCCGGCTGGGCCGGAGGTTTGGACAAGTCCGCCGTCTTTTCCTTTTTCCTCTTCCTCCCTTCCGGCGTTTCAGAGAAGCGGGGAAAACAACAACAAGGGGCGGGCCCGGCTCACACGGTGGTCTCGTCGGCTTTCTTCTTCAGCAGCTTGGCCGCGAGCAGGGAGTGAGGGGCGGGGGAGGGGTTCCTGGCGTCGGGAATCATCAGCCGGACCTTCTGGTTGGTCCTTCGCCACTCGGAATAGAGCTGGCAGTGGTAGCGGAACGACACCTGGGACGAAATGATAACAATAATAAATAACAAGGACGATGATCATGATCATGATAATAATAATAAAGAAGAAGAAGTAGTAGTAGTAGTTGTTGGAAGGGACTTTGGAGGTCATCTAGTCCAACCCCCCCACTCAGGCAGGAAACCCTATGCCAGTGATGGCGAACCTTTTAGAGACCGAGTGCCCAAACTGCAACCCAAAACCCACGTATGCATCGTCGGGTGCCGAGTGGGCGTGGCCCATTGGGTGGGTGTGGCCCATTGGGTGGGCGTGGCCCATTGGGTGGGCGCGGCTGCAGGGGTAACGCCAGACTGGGTGGGACTAAAATGTTCACTCAATCAATTCCAATTTTGCGAGATCTTTTTTTTTCCCCGCAAGGTTGAAATTGACTGATTGAACCTTTTTTTTTGTACATGGCAGCGGAGGCCTAAAGCGAAAAGGTTTTATAAAACCCAGCTGAAGGCCTAGGACTGGGGCGACGGTGCGCGTGCCCACAGAGAGGGCTCTGAGTGCCGCCTCTGGCACCCGTGCCATAGGTTCGCCACTACCGCCCTATGCCATTTCAGACATGTGACTGTCTTGCCTCTTCTTAAAAACTTCCAGTGTTGGAGCATGCATAGTTTCTGGAGGCAGGCTATTCCACTGATTAACAGAATAACAGAGTTGGAAGGGACCTTGGAGGTCATCTAGTCCAACCCCCTGCTCAGGCAGGCAAATGGCTGTCCAGTCTCTTCTTAAAAACCTCCAGTGTTGGAGCATTCACCACTTCTGGAGCACAAGGCGAGGGAGGGGAGGAGGGAGGGACTTCCAATGGATCTTCCATTCCCCTCACCCGCCGCCCCCTAGAGCTCTGATTCCATCCCAGTAACTGAAACAACACAGGCAGTCCTCGACTTACGACTCACAACTCAGCCCAAAGTTTCCGTTGCTAAGCGAGACGGCTGCCGAGCGAGTTTTGCCTCCCGTTTTGCGACCTTCCTTGCCACCGCCGTTAAACGAATCCGTGCAGATGTTAAGCCAGTAACCCGGTTGTTAAGTGAAACCGGCTCCCCCCCCCGTTGACTTCACTTGCTGGTAGGTCGCAAAAGGGGATCACATGACACACACACACACACACAGGAACGCTGCACAACCTTCGTGTGAGCTGGTGGCCCAGACTCTGAATTTGGATCATGGGGGAATGCCTTAAAGGTCGCTAAGTGTGAAAAACGATAAGTCGCTTTTTTTCAGTGCCGCTTTAACTCTGAACGGTCACTAAACGGAAGGTTGTAAGCCGAGGCCTGCTTTACCCATTGCCAATGAGAATAATTAGTATTTGCCCTGTGCTGATTTTAGTCCCCCCACCCCCCAAAAGGTTTAAAATACAATATAGTCTCACTCAAAAGACTGGGATGTAAAGAAAAGTCTGAATTTCCCTTCCTAAAGCAGAAAGAATTAGGGTGGGGGGGAGGAGACTGAGTTTTTTATTTTGTCAAGGTAATGATTTAACAGCTAACCAGCTTATGTAATGTAAGATGTAATGATGGGAATGATCAGCAGAGTCTGTGTCCTTTTAAGAGCCAGCAGGGTCTGAGTCTCTTTAAGAATCAGCAGGGTCTGTGTCCCTTTAAGAGCCAGCAGGGTCTATGTCTCTTTAAGAGCCAGCAGGGTCTGTCTCTCTTTAAGAGCCAGCAGGGTCTGTCTCTCTTTAAGAGCCAGCAGGGTCTGTGTCCCTTTAAGAACCAGCAGGGTCTGTGTCCCTTTAAGAGCCAGCAGGGTCTATGTCTCTTTAAGAGCCAGCAGGGTCTGTCTCTCTTGAAGGAGGCGGTGGTGAGGCCCCTCCTTAAGAAGCCTTCCCTGGACCCAGATGTATTAGCTAACTATCGTCCGGTCTCCAACCTTCGCTTTGTGGCGAAGGTTGTTGAGAGTGTGGTTGCGCAGCAGTTCCCCCGACACCTGGAGGAAACAGTCTATCTAGACCCGCTCCAGTCGGGCTTCAGGCCGGGATACAGC